CCCACTCACAGCGCAGGAAATTTCACCGTTCCTCTCAAACAGGCAGAAGCCGTTGATGTCGCAGGGGTTGGAGGTGGGAGTGCTGCAGGACTTCTGCGGGACGCAGCCGGACGTTTGGTTCCCCACAAACCCCGACTTGCAGGGACCACACTTGTAGGAGCCCTGGGAGAGAGGGGGCAGGGGCAGGATTAGGGGGGCAGAGTGACAGCGGGCAGGGGAGCGGGGCAGCTCTGCTCACCAGCGTGTTGGTGCAGATGGAGTTGGGGTCACAGCCCCCGTTGTTCCCATCGTTGCATTCATCGATATCCGTGCAAAGCTGCAAGCAGCGTGGGAGAAACCGTCACCCAGGACCTTTCCCTGTCCACAGCTCTGCCCGTTCCTGTCCCAGAAAAGCTGCCCTCCCCCAGCAGGCACAACAGCTTCCACCACCCCTGCAGCTCCGCAGCCCCGAGCACCAACGGGGACCCGGATGGGTCCCGCGACAACACACTCACCTGCTTGCTGGCCCTCGCATAGTCCACCCCCACGCCAGAGACGGTGTTGCCCCGATAGCCACGGGGACAGGGCTCACAGCGGAAGCCGGGGGCCGTGTTGATGCATTTGGAGCCAGGGAAGCAGGGGTTGGCGTGAGCGCACTGCAGCACGGGGAGAGAGAAAGGTTTCACCCCTGGGCACGGCATCCCACAGGTCGGGGTGGCCACTGCCCCGGGGCGTCCCAGAGGGACCCCTCCCCGGCTTGAGGATGCACATGGAGAGGGGAAGCATCGTTTTCCCGCGCTGTTCCAGCAGTGCCGGGGCTCAGGCATTGCCCGCTGACCCACCTCATCGATATCGGCACAGTGTGTGCCGTTGCCCTCCAGCCCCGGGGGGCAAGGCCCGCAGCGGTACCCGGGGTACTCGTACGTCTCCATGCAGTCCACGCCGCTGAAGCAGGGGTTGGGGTTGCAGCGGGACCGGTGCTCGTGGAAGCCTGAGAAGAGGAGGGGCAGGCAGGGGGTGAGACGGGTCCTGGGCCACCCTGGGCCCCTGGGGTGGGAGCAGAGCCTCGCCAGCACTCACCGCAGACCTGGCACTCCATGATGGTATTGCGGATCAGAGACATCTCCTTCACCTGCGAGACAGCGGAGAACGGAGCGTCAGGGAACGGAGGGTACTGGCTGGCAGCCTGCTCAAACCCAGCCCGGGGACAGCCGACACCCCACCACCTCACCTGGTCCCTAATGTCTTCGCGCAGCTCGGTCAGGACCCGGTTGAAGAGGGTCAGCTGCGTGACCAGCGCCTTGGTCTGCTCACCTGCCAGGAGCAGAAGGGACAAGGTCAGTCCAGGACGGACACAGCTGCCTGGGGCCATGGACAGGGGACCACTCTGCCCCCCAGCCCCAAACCAGGAGGATGAGACAGCCAGTGGCCCTTCCTCCTCCTCCCTGGTCCACACAGGACACCGTCCCCTGTAGCACATCTCATGGATCCACCCCGTCCTGGGGCCCTGCAGGCACTGGGGGCACTGGGACAGGCTGCGGAGGGTTTTTTGCCCCCGTGGAGCCCCAGACTCTGCCATCGCCCTCGTGCCAGGGAAAGGGGGAAGCGGAGCAGGGACTTACCCAGGATGGAGGCCAGCACGCTTGTCACTGCAAGGGGAGAGACGAGCTGTTACTGAACGCTGCCACTAACGCCCAGCAACGTCACCTTGCACGGTCGCTCCTGCTCAGCGTGCGCACAGCACAGGAGCTCCCACCTGCGCGGGGACGCTGGACTGGGAAAGGCAGGAGCACCCCTCTGTGCGATGTGCTGTCACCTCCCACCTCCACGTGCCACAGCACGTAGCACGCGTGAGTGCCCCCGTAAGCCCTCCATGCCGTCCCCGCTCGGCGCAGGGCGCAGACGTGCTGTTACCTGCGCTGTGGATGGACTCGTCTCCCTGGAAAGGGCACTCGCTCAGGGCCCCGACGCGGCTCATGGACCCTCCCAGGATCAGCTTCATCGACTCCACAAACCCCTGATGTGCAAAGGGACATGAAGTCATAGAATCATAGAATC